AAATTAAAATGTCAGTAAACAGCTCAAAACAAATCTAAATATTTTGAAAATTTTATCAAATATATAAAACGCCTATATAAACATTCAGTCAAAATTTCAAGTATCTGCGGTAATTTGTTTTAGAGTTACACCAAAATAAGGAAAWCGCTAAAAGTGAAAATCCAATGTCGTAAAAATTTAAATTTCAAATGCTCATAAAAATTTAATTTGAATTTCCTGTGGTTGAGGTATCTCGAACCAGTCAATGTGCCATCATAAAAATAAGGACCGAGTAATTTGCTACCTACAAGTCCACACCAAACGTTTGTTCCCCATACGTGTTGAAAATTAGAATTTGTGTTAATTTGTTTAGTTAATTAACCAAAATTAAACCATTTACGAGAACTTTGTGTTAACATCTCTGTAGAAGTAATGTAAATTATTTGTACTTATGACAGTACACTTAATTTAAAAAAAAACATTATACAAAATTACATATAAATTTATAAAACTCTAAATAGACTTTTGAAAAATAGATAAATACCTACAAATGTTATAAATTGAAACTTAATTGGCATAATTMAAATTTGAAATATAAGTGATGGGTACCGTTTAAAAAAAAATTTTATTGCACATGCACAGAATTTTTTTTTTAATTAAGATTTATCAAAAATAAATATAATTTTATGTTCTTTATATATACATTAAAAACAAACTGAATTGAATACAAGGTTATGCGTTCGAAATATTTCATGTTACCTTTATCGTTGAACACGGATAGCTGTACATGTATTATATATTATGTATCTATGTAGTATATTATGTACATTTGTATTTAATATTAATGTAATAGAAAGTTTTGAAGTACCACTTAAGTGAGATAATAATAAGCACCTAATCGTATTAAAATGTTTATCATAGTAATTTATCAAGCCTTACATAGGTATATCCATAAAGGTGCACCGACTACTCTAATTGTAATAAATTACAATAATTAATGGAATAAATACCTATAATATTTTAATTTTTCATTATTCATGTAATTTATGAGTACCTACTTTTATTACTTATTTATTCGTTATATTCAGCCAAGCTTACAAAAATATCATATAACGACGCTATATTGTTTTCGACGATTTCGTTGTATAATGTAGACAATATTGTAGTTTTTTGATGAGTGGATTGGTTATGAGAGTTGTAGCAAGTTATCAATTCATTACATACGTTATTTCCTAAAAAATTAGATGAGTAGGTAAGTTCATAMATGGTAAACAAAAATGTCGTAATGTAGAGAAAAAATTAATTTGCAATTTTTATTTATTTTTTAAGATGTTATCATTATCTATTAATTAATGAAATGCATTAGTTATACCATTGTTATTA